GGTTATTTCTCCCATTAGAGGAACAGATAAAACTCTAAGCAATCTAATCTCAATCTGGATTCCTTAAGAACAGTTCAAACATGTTGAAAACATAACTGATGTACAATAAAATAAAAAAAATAAATCTTACTGGGACTATATAGGAAACTGTAACACAAAAGGGGTGAATAATGCTTTGCTATATTAAACAAATGCAGTAACTTACTCGAAATTCAGCAACTATCTTAGACTTGAGAGCAGCTTTTGGATTTGTGGATGCTGTTAGAATTAAACAAGAGATCATTTAAGAATACAGACACAGAGAGTTGAATAATACTCAGGAAAAATTTTAGCTCTATTGTTAAGGCTGTACTCTTTGAACATATGGCAAACATGCACATTTAAGTCATAATATAATTTCTAGAATAATGCACTATGAAATTTAAAAACTTCCAAGCATGGTCAATATAAAAATACACTATTTAGATAGGCCTAACCTACTTACCTCTGGCAGACCCTTGAAGTCATAAAGTCCTAGAATTATTGATTTGAAGATACTGAAATACATAAAGTACCTTCTGTTCCCAGTCTGACTGAGTATAAGATCTCACTACCTCAAATTAAGTGTGTTCAGAAACAGGACATCCAATTAATCCTGAGCACTGGCTGAAGAAAATTACTTACAAATATCAACTCTATTCCTATTATTTAGCTTTGAATATATTTTTCTGCTGACTTAATTCAGAGCAAAAATAGGCAAGGAAAGTTCTAAGTACATTACCACTGTGGTTGAACTTTGGCTGAAATGACGACTCTTGTTGTTCCCAAGCATGCAACTTATGACCAAAAGGATGTTAGAAGACTCCCTTAATCATGATGAATATCACATGCTCGCTGGAGCAAAACCATCCCAAGTGTCTTGTTTTACCTCCCAGTTCTCACTGTCTTTTACTTTGTTCCCTCCATACCTTCAAGTCTCTCTCAATATTCCTCAGTTTGCCCACAGCAGCCTATCACATGCAGTATTCCACTCCCTTGATCTCATGCTGGGTAAATACGATAAACATAACAGGAGCTCCAGTTAGAAAATGAGCTTCTGGCCAGGATTTGAGGCCCACGTCTAATTTGGTAGAGTGTATCCCCAAATCTGAAGGATTTCATGGTTCCCACAGAAATGCTTCTTAATGCCTAGTCTCCTCTTCAGATCTGTTGTTTAATGCCAGCTGCCTCTAACTTCATACATCTTTGAACCTGAGAATTAGCCTGGGCACTATCAAGTATTTTTTTTATTCTTCTTTCAATCCCCCCAACTACTCTTGAATCTTCACTCAATTAAACCCTTTTTCTGCATTTCCTTTTGTTTAAAAGTGATTTTTTTTTTTTCCTTTAGAAGTAACTCCATGATGGCTTGCTTAGTATAAGTCACTGGGAGCCTCCCAGGCCTGGAAAACACAGGCTTGCCCATGGTTTATGCCAGGTACGATGTCAAATGGTCTACATTTTCTTCTGCTCCAAAAAGAGGAGGTAATTTTATATTAGTTGAGATTTTGGTCCTTACTTTGTGATTTCTTCCACTGCTTATTCGGTTGTTTGTTCAGATTTTCTTTCAGCTGCTTCTGAGTTTTGAAAGTGGTACCTGGAAAACATTTCAGTTTTTGCAATCTGGCATTATGGGAAGCTGTTCTGTCTGTCCACTTCAGAGCCAAAGTTGTAGCATGAAAAAAGGCAATCCGAGACTGTGTGTTGTTTCTTTCTTTCTTTTTCTTTCATTTTTATAAAAAAAAATAGAAACTCCCACTAGATCTAAGAAGCTGTCAAATAAACATGATTTCTATAATCAATGAAATTATCAATTTTGAAAAGAATAGGGCAGGAGGCTTAAAAATACCAGTTAATAAATGGAAACGAAGAATTTAACAGCTTCTTAGAAGATGCTATTTTTAAAGCAAATTTCTAGTCAAATGATGGTCATGGTAGCAGATTATCATCAACTTCTATTCAATGACTTAATTACATGCATCTAATACATAGGAACTAAGAACTAATACATAAGAACTTTTTTCCTTTTAAAAAAACAGGAATACGACTTACTGTAAATCTAAATCAAAAGAGTTTGAAGAATACCAATAAATGCTTTCAATCAAACAGCTTAGTGAGAACTGAAACCCCGTCCAAAAATTCTCCAAAGTACAGGGCAGTATTTATTAAACATAAACAATGAACGACTTGAAACACTCAATTAAAGCAAATGCAGGAAAATAATCAGATGGCTATCATCACTTAATATGCTTGACTTTTTTAGTCAATAAAAACAAAATCCAACCCCCATTCCCAAAACCAATACTACTTAACTTTTAATTCAAACGGATCAAGATTTTTACAAGTATTTAATTTTAAACAAACAGGGCCAGATCTAAAACTTTATTTTTCACTATTATGAAACATGACCAGATCTATAAAAT